AAGAGCTTCTGCCTCAGAGCTCATCTCAATCTCCCCTCTGGAAGTTTCAAGCCATTCCCCTTGTCCTGTCCCTCCATCCCGTGTCCAAAGCCCCTCTCCAGGTCTCCTGGAGCCCCTTTAGGCACTGGAGCTGCTCTAAGGTGTCCCCTTGAGGAGCCTTCTCTTCTCCAGCTGCCCCAGCCCAGCTCTCTCAGCCTGGCTCCAGAGCAGAGCTGCTCCAGCCCTCGCAGCAGCTCCGGGGCCTCCTCTGGCCTCGCTCCAGCAGCTCCACGTCCCTCTTGTGCTGTTCCCCAGAGCTGGACCAGGGCTGCAGGGGGGGTCTCCCCAGAGCACAGCAGAGGGGCAGGATCCCCTCCCTGAGCTGCTGCTCACGCTCTGGGGGTGCACCCAGCACATGGGGGGGTTCTGGGCTCAAGCACACACTGAAGCCGGGTCATGGGGAGCTTCTCCTCACCCAGCACCCCCAAGTCCTTCTCCTCAGGGCTGCTCTCCAGCCTGAGTTGTTTCCCTTTCACTGTGTTATTTCCTTCGTATTTATATATTTATCTAAAACCCAGCTGTAAAAATACCTGTGAAGGGATGATGCTCAGCAGCATTTTGAGGATACTGGAGCAAGCCAACACGAGCCACAGCTTGCAGGTCTGCTGGGACTGTGCCACAACGCCATGAGGAAGTCAATGACCACATCACGAGCACCTCACCGAGCCTGCCCACCCCTGCTACCCCTGTGGACAGCACTGGTGGCATCCACCATACTGGAAGCACTTGAGATGACAAGGATGTCAAATGACTTGCCCAAGGCCAAGCAAATGGAAGAATCTGTGTAACTCCAACTTGTTGTCCCTCCACTGAAGGTGCCGACTGTGTGACTTGGTATGTTCATCTGATAAGGGGGATGCTGTATTTACCATCCTACTATGGGCATCGTGAGGCTTCGTTAATGTGAGCAAAGAGCTCTGAGGTTCCTGGATGAACGGCACTATGCAAGTGCAAAGTATTATTTATTTTCCAGGGACCACAGAGCTGTCATAACCATAATGAATTTTATTTATGCAGCTTTGTACTCTCCCGGCTGGCAATAAAAGCCCTGTAAAAGTCTCTCCTTTTATTTCCATTGCAATCTATCTTAGCCTCAGAGCTCCAGCCGCTGCTGGTGAATCACCATGCATGAGGGGCCATGAGGGAGCAGCCTGGGCAAGGGCAAGGCAAGGTTCCTTGGGTGGGAACGCATCTCGTCGAGCAGCAGCTTTGTCACATTGGCATGACAACATAATACACTGAAGAGCCTTAAAAATGACTGTTAATTTTAGTAGTGGTTAGTGAGATAGTAACATTTTTAGTTGCTCTGGTTCAAGATGTAATGGAGGAGAAGAGTTGCTGGGGGTGGTAATGAATTCAGGCTTGTAGACTAACGGAGGCATCCCTGAGTCCAAGACCAACAGGGTTTATTGTGACCATCCATCCTGGCCATCTAGAAAGAGCTTGGAGAAACTACAGCAACCCTATGGCTCCCACAGCAGCTGAAGCCTTCCACTTTGGGTATCTTCCCTCTTTGAGACTTCAAGCAATGCAGAACTCACCAAGCCCTTGGGTAAGTCCTGTTGCTGCTTGCACATCCCCATTTACCCAGAGAAGCTGTGGCTGCCCCATCCCTGGCAGTGTTCAAGGCCAGGTTGGACACAGGGGCTTGGAGCAACTTGCTCTAGTGGAAGGTGTCACTGCCCATGGGAGGTGTTGGAGCTGGATGAGCTTTAAGGTCTCTTCCAAACCAGTCTGGGATTCTATGATTTGAACCTTGCTTTGGCCAGAGTCTTGAAGTGTTCTTTCTGAGAAGGCAGCTTCCCTTTTAACTTTCTTTTTCACTTTAAACTCTTTCAGAGAAAACCAGATGCACCATGATCATACAGTCTAGCATAGACATTAGAAAGCATGTTCAAGAGTAGCATCCACTCTCAGTGGCCAAATTATCCTTCTCCCACTAAAACAACCTAACACCCAGAGGTGCCACGCCAGCCACAGCATCCTACATGATCCCTCACAGCAATGGAACAGGGGCCACTGTCACATGAAGCTGCCTTAGCTTTCTTGCAGACCTGCTTATCCAGCACGGATCTGCTCAGTGATGTGCATTGTTCTGTGGTTCTCTGCTCACGTCCCTGCACCCAGCACCAGAAAGAGCTCTCCTCATGCTCCTTAGATCTGATCTCACTGCTCAAACACAGCCCATCTTTGACTAAAAGTTAGTCTGGGAGTAGGAAGGCTGGAAACCTGTTCTCTGGTGGTTGGGTTCTCACTTAGTTCACCAGGTCTGACTTGGTTCTCCTGCAGCCAAGCACCCCATGGTTAATTTTGTATGACATCTTTGATATCTCATAGCTTAGAATCATACTGAGTGTTCTCCATCACTCAGGGGCTGTGGTTTGAGTCTTCCTTGTCCCTTATTTTCCCAATCACGTATTTTCACTGAATGCACAGGAGGGGCTTAATATCTCCAAGATCTGTGTTCCTCTGAAAATTTACTTAAAATTGGCCAATGGATATCAAACCAAATGAGAAAAGGAAGGGAGGGAGCAGACACACACAGCCCAATCGCATCAGCCGAGCTAGTTTAGGAAATCGGGTTAAACACAGTACAATAATCAGGGAGGCTGTTTCCAAATGTTGTACTACCACAGCAGGCTAAAGCTTGGGGTATTTTTAAGAATTTAAGCTGCACTGCAGACACATGTGCAAATACAATTACCCTGGAAAAATGAAACTATCTCTGCAGAACACAAGGACCTAAAACACTGACTTCCTTAATGTGAAGCCTTCATTTAAGTCTCAGGAGCTGCCCTTCTGCTCTTTCCAACCAGAAACCATACATACGGTGGTGCATTGCTGCATGTCCTCTTTCCAGAGCATCCCTGTGCTTCCTCAGACCTCTGCCCACCAGCAGCAGGCAGCGTCAGGGTGAGAGATGGATTAAGTACACGGGAAGGCTCCTAATCCAAGGAGAACTCCTGGACACTGCCTGTGCCTGAACAGCGGAGCACTCTGTGTCCCCATTAGGAAAATCAAGCATTGCCCTTCTCCAGCCGAGCAGATCCCTTCCTTAGTCCCTGCACTGAGACAATGTTTTGGAAAAATCCCGTCACCAATCCCTACTCTTGTCTATTTTGGTGCCTAAACAGAGCTAAATTTGGAAGGGAGAGAAGTCGGCTCTTTTTGTGCAGCAAGCTGATGTAAAAGGAAATATCAGCAGCTTGCAAGAAGGGTGGAGTGGCTGGAGAAGACCGAGGGTGCTGGGTGGATGGCGGCCGGCCAGCGTCCCAGGGGCACGGTGACATGCCCCTTGGGTTCACCTGGAGGCTGCTCCCCACCGCAGCTCATGTAGGACAGCAATGGAAGTGCCTTCAATGAGGATAACATGGATCTGAAACGCAGCTCTTCCGTTTCGCAGTGGACACACGCTTTATGATCCTGAAATCCCTCAATAGAGCCAAAGGGAAATACCTTGCAAAGCAGAAGACCACGCTATGCACCACAGTGGGTCTACAAGAAGACCTACACAAGAGGGATGGGGTTTGCTCCTGCTTGGGCCCGAGGACACCATCAAGCCCAGGTGCTCATGGTTTTCATAGGCAGGTTTGCAACTTCTCGATGGGCAGCGAAATCACATTTGGGCTCTCTCCCACGTTGGTTTTATTTTGCTATTTATTCGCAGGTGGCTGGGGAAGAACGTGGCAAACCAGCATTTCAGTGCTGCTGGTTCTGGAAGTGAGGGGTGTGGGAAAAGCAAAGAACAAGGAGCCCACGGTCTCAGGATGGATTGCTAATAGGGGTAATTTTCAATTTTGGAGCTAAACACTCTGTGGTTTACATGGTGGGAAGCTTGGAGCAGAACCTGAGAAGCCCATGGGACCTCTAATGCGTGTACATGTAAGTCAAGTTTAAATCATAAACATGCACGCTCTAACAGGAAAGGCCAATCTCTCTGGAAAACAAGGGGCGTTCAGGACTGGCCTGCTCTCCGGGCCAGCCCCCTAGAGATCAAATAGGTTGTGATGTGCAGATTCATTTTCAGATGTTTTGGGAAAAGCAGCTCTTGGAGAAGAAGGAAGGTGATGTGTGGCAAACTTAGGTCACTATTGTATGGCCAAACAAAGGAAATTTGTCATCTACTGAAACTGCTGCAGACAAACGGCAGGCAAGAGTGGGTCTGATGCCCACGTGCACTCTTTTGTGCTTTACCTTCCTAATGAAGGTGTCTGTCCAGCCTCAACCCCCTCCATCTGCCTGTGGGAATCTGGAAAGACAGCAGCTTTCTGGGCTGCCCTAGACACATTTACATCAAAGTTTAATGAAAGAACAAGTAAAAAGCTTTCAAGATCTTGTTGGCAATATGCAGCAACGTAAAAGCCTCTGCCTCTCCCCTCACTGATGCCCGCCTCTGGCCAGCAACATCCCCCTCCTGATCCATCTCACCCCACATCTCAGCTCAGTAACTTGTGGAGTGCTGGCCTGGGAGGGACATGAGGAAGAAGGGCAGGACCAGCCTGCTATTTGCAGAAGCTTTACTATCACTTTTCTCACACCTCCTCTGCAGCAGCATCAGCTGAAGAAGTTGTAGGAGGGCACCAGCTTTGCCTCTTTCACTAGTGATGGTAAATCACACGTCAAATAACAAGGAGATAAGCAGA